AGCATTCAAGTGTTCCAAGTTGTCACCTTGGGAACTAGGCTGAAGACTGTAAACACGCTGCCACTCGGGTATAGGTGTTAAGTCCATCCGTAATAGCTCGGATCTTTCCGAGTTATAAATTACTTTGTACTAAACTCGGATGATCTATCCAAACGATGTGACATTAGGCAATACCAACCTGCTCATTGTATCCAAAGCCAATGGCACTTGACCGCGGACGAACTGGAAACCAGTGAAGGCCCGCCTCAAACACTCCATAGAAATCCCCCCTGGAAACCCTGAACCGACTTCACTCCGTCAGTCGCCTATCTTTCGAACTCCAAAAATGAGGACAGGCCAAGCAGTTCACCCAGGCCACTCCTACCATTTCAAGTTTTCATGCTTCGGTGTTCAATCACCTTGAGTCTGGCCGTATCAAGTGGCGCAGACTAGATAATACTGGAAATGGCCATGACCTGGAAGAGAGCAGTAGCGGGTATGCCTAGAGGCCCTCAACCTCCGAATGCTAGCAACTCACGGAATCAGCTAGGGGTGTCGTACCCCGTGTACTCGTACTCAACCTCTCAAGTAAAACCGTTGGAGTTGGAAAGCCATGATCCAAACCTTCTATCAGCACGCGACGGTTGCAACAATGAGGATACGGTCGACGTATAAGTAAGAATCATGTAAGAGTCAAATGTCGGTTATAGTATAGAAAATTAACGTTGGTAACCTGCTCTCCCGTCGTACATACAGTGCAACCCTGGTTTGTTTGTTAGCGCGGATCTCAAGACAGGGGTCCTAGTCCAAATTTCAACAAGATGCATCTTTATAGCTATAAGGAATATATTAACGCAGAAAGATAAAGCATCTAGAAATACTCAGAATGTGCCATTTCATTTGTCTGTTTATCTGTGCAAAAAGTGGCTGTTTTGCTGTCGAGATTCGGGTTTGGGGGTTGAGCCCTGTCTTCAAGTCAGGCCCGGGCGCTAGAACAAACCAGAGGGGCATTGTACATACTCCGTACATCAAGCCATATACAATATCCCCCTTGATTGTTCGTTAGTGCCTGACTTGGAGTCAAGGGTCAACCCCAAGATCTCGATCTCGACAGCAAAACAGCCATTTTATCAACGGGAAAAACGTGCGAGTAAGACACCATCCTAAGCATTGCTGAGGTTCTCTGTTTTTTCGTGTTGAACCATTCCCTATGGCTGTTGAGATGCATCTTTCTTGAGCCTAGGACCAGGACCCATGTCATGAGTCCCGCGCTAACAAACAAACCAGGGTTGTACTGTATTGACATTAGCGCTCATTTCAATTTCCAAACATCCATTACTAAGCGCCTTCTATCGACAGAAGCGCCCGGTCCCGTGGTTCGATGAGCGTGTATGTAGTCACTAGTGTGGATCACGGTTTGTCCCAACCGACAACATCTGATGAACGAGATGCCAGGGGTTAGGCTCGCTCACTCGCTCGCTTCGGCACGGCCCTCGTTTTTGGCATTCGTCCGATTTGCGGCGGCTCAGATCGTGGATCATGGGTGGACCTCGCTTAGGTCGATCGGATATTATCAGGGGTCAAAGGACGCCTTGGGTCAGCTTGCGATCCACATTTTGGCTAAACGACATGAGGCGTAGAAAATGGTGAAACAACCTAATAACCGCGAGCTTCCCAAACGTCCCCCCACGTACCCAAAGGATCAGCAAATGCCCAGCGAAAGTCGGGCGTGATCCACGCCTTATCGCCAGGAACATGGGGACTACCACGTGCATGCTAGGGATGTTCCACCAATCCATGGCCTGGGAGCAGAGACAACATGGAGTCAATACACGAATTACTGGCAGAGTTGTCTGTATGTGGAAAGTACGGTCAACAGCTTTGTGCACTCGGGAAGGAGGTGATACGGTCATCAGCCTCATGAGGGCATGCAGCCTTTGAATTCTGGGTGAGTATTTTCTCGCTCTGGTGTCTGCCATCCCTTGCAATTATCAGTCGAACTGTTGAGAAGAACGACGAAGGAATGGAGTTCAGTCAACACCAAGCGGCTAAGAGCGGGTCCCACTAACATCGTGCGACATCTGTATCCTTGACTGATCCTCCCCCTTTTCAGCCTGCAGCTGCCAGGGTTTGTTGGATGGGAAAAGACTCGGGCTCGTTCTTATATCAACAATGGCACGAAGTCCAACTTGAACATCCTCCCTCTTCCTCATCTCTCAGGGGGCACTTGGAACTCGGCCTGCCATTCTTTTCTTGTACACTTGTTGTCACCACTTTCGTTCGCATATTTGCATTCCACCGGCCTTGACGGTCATTTTCACGCCCGCCCTTCCACATTGGGTTCCGTTCCTTGAATCGAATTCCGAGTTCCATTCCGTCCGTATTTCTTCACACACAACGAACAAGATGCACCGCCTCGCGTATCTCGCCAGCCTGCTGCCCCTGGTAGCAGGGCACGGCTTCATCTCCTCGCCGCCGGCCCGTCGTCCGGGCGAGGCGTACAAGGCCACCTGCGGCGCACAGCCCTTCTACCAGCAGAGCTCCGACATCAACGGCAACGTCCAGGGCATCCAGCAGGTCGTCGGCAGCGACAAGACGGACGCCTGCAACCTCTGGCTCTGCAAGGGCTTCCTCCTGGAGGACAACACAGACAAGGTCCAGAGCTACTCGCTCGGCCAGACCATCGACTTCAAGATCAACATTGCCGCCCCGCACACGGGCTACGCCAACGTCTCGGTTGTCAAGACGAGCACCAACACCATGATCGGCACGCCGCTGATCGAGTTCCAAAATTATGCCTCCAACAGCGGCGTCGCCGCCAACAACTCGGCCTTCAGCGTCACCCTGCCCGACAACCTCGGCGGTGACTGCACCACCGCTGGCGACTGCGTGCTGCAGTGGTTCTGGGACGCCCCCAGCATCGACCAGACCTACGAGGCCTGCGTCGACTTCACCGTGTCTGGCAGCGGTTCCGCCGGCGGCGGCGCTGCTCCTTCATCGTCCGCAGCCCCGGCCACCAGCACCCAGGCAGCTGCTACCTCAACCTCCATTCCCTTTACGACAACCGCTATTGCCACCACCACCTCCGCCGCTTCCGTCCCCAGCACCACTACAACCCCTGTCCCTGACGAGACCGGCGACGAGGATGATGAATGCCCGGCCGATGACGACGAGGACGACGAGGACGAGGACGAGGATGAATGCCCTGCCGACGACGGCGAGGATGACGGAGAGGAGGGCGAGGGTGACGACGACGAGGAGTGCCCCGCAGATGAGGACGATGACGAGGCCGAGGAGACGGACGCATCATCGGCCCCGAACCCCGTGACGCGTACGGCTGCTGCCGTCGATCCCACCGCTGATGCCACGGCTGTTACCAGCACCATCACCCAGGTGGTCACGTCGACTGTCGTCAGCGAGAGGCTTGTTACGGTGACGGCTCCGGCCACGGCTTGCGCTTAGACAAAATTAGGAGGGGAAGGGGTCCCTTCAAGTTACCGACGTCGGGTCGGCGCCAGGTATTGGTATGGTTTGACTCGAGCGTTGTCAAGCTCTATTTGTTCTGTACATATTATATTTTCTTCGTAGCATCCTCTTCGCAGCATCCTGGGATGCTTGGTAGTATTATTTACCAGATTTTTATCGAACATTAGGTATTTACCTTACATTCGATTCTCCGTCCCTTCATGCCGCTGTGAATTTGTAGACAGCCGTGGGCTGCATCATGATGTAACCGGCTTCTAGACAGAAGATGCCAGGTCAGAACGAGACATTCGACATAAAGATGATTCCAGCCAACGTACATCACTCGACTTCCAGTCTTCCACGCGGTGGACGTTTGGTAGCTCCGAGAAAAACTCGCAGAACAGATGACGAACCAATTGACCTCGTCCTTGTCAGCCCCTCGGATGGCTACTTCAAACCTTGAAGCTCCGAGCTGAGCTCAGGATGCTCCTGGAGGAAAGCCTTCTCATGTGATGGCAGATCTTGTCCCCACTTGAGCCTCTGTCTGATTCTCTGAATGATCATGTCGTTGTACTTCTCCTCGCCAAAGGTGTTTCTGAATTCCTCATCGGTATACCCTGTTGAGATACGTTTACCACTGAACGGGGAACGTTGGGGGAACTTGGTGTATATTGGATTGAGTGGCATCTCGATGCTGGAGCCGGATTAGCAGGGGGTGGGAGAGATAGAAGTAGTTACGGGAGCGACTGACAGTCGTTCTCGGTTCCATTTGTATATGGTTGTGGACACATCTTGCGAGTCAGTTGGTCCATTATCCACAAGGATATAAACCCGGTTGTTGTCGTAGGCATACTGGCCTAGGGACTGGAGACGATCCTGAGTTTCATCAAATTGCCTGTGCCACACATGTTGGCATATTATATTTGCCATTGTCGTTCGCCGTTCTTTCAGATCGCCTGGTATGTCTTGGCTATGGCATTGAACAAGGATGCGGGTAGCCATACTGATAGTGGAACTTGGAGTGTGGGTTGGAATTGAATTGGTGGTTCTAAACTTCCAAGCTCCAACCGCGAGAGGCCGGAGTTAGGAAGGCGCAGACGCAGAGGTAGCCCGTGCATGATGTGGACCTCATATGACTGCTGACTGTCGAGGTACTCCGTACATACCATAGTGGGAAAATCTAGCTGGAAGCTATCATACGTAGGCCGTACTATGATTGCCAGGCCAACTAGGATAGCACCCTTTCCCACATCTAATTGGTCAGAAATTTAGGGTACTACGACTTCTAGGCTCTTACAGGGACTTTAGTGGATTGCACCCACTATACTAACTATAAGCTACAACGTTGATTAAAGCTAAAGAGCTTACAACGCCCCTGACTACTCCCAAGGCCTTGCAACGCCCCGACTACTCCCAAGGCCTTGTGACGCCCCAACTACTCTATATATGAGGTTAGAATTACTCTATATACAAAGCCCTAATGGTACTACTCTATATATAAGGTTCTAGTAGGACTAATTAGTAATCTATATATAAAGACCTGTCACGAACAGACCTTACTGGCGGCCAGGCATGGTCACAGCCGCAGCGCGGGGAGCCGCGGCAGCCAATCACTCAACTAACCAATCAGAATGGATCACTAGGGAAGGAGAGTGAGCCAACATAAGGATCACTGGGATCACGAAGTGAGCCAGGTGAGCCAACATAAGGATCACTGGGATCACGAAGTGAGCCAGGTCAGCCAGCACAGAGATCACTAGGAGCAAGGAGTGATCCTCAAAGACAATCATTAGTATATTAGATAGCTAGCTATTCCCTTGGAGGACCTGCCAGAGGTTCTCCAGT